AATAAATAAAATCTTTAAAAAAAAAAACAAAAAACTCCCAGCTGAATGGTATCCTTTTCCTAATAAGGAAATATAGATCCAGAAAACTTAAGCTACGACCCAAAGGTCAGAACCTGCAACTCTTCACTCCATGCTTAATCCTTTCTTTCCCAGAACATGCTGCCTCTATAAAAATGTTACATAGTAGATTTTCTCTTTGAAATTATAAATGGCATTTGTCTGGCTGAAGCCACGGAGCTTAGGACCCACTCACAGCATCTAGGGAAGTGGTTCCCAAACAAGACTGCACATTAGAATCACAGAGGCAGCTTCACAAGTGTTGATGTTCAAGCTTCACTCCAGACAAAGGAAAACAGAACCTCTGGGGATGAGACCCAGACATCAGGGATTTTTTTCAAGCTCCTGTGTGATTCTTTTAAGCAGCCAGGACTGAGAATCATTCATGCCAGGAAAGCGTTACTATATTTTTCGTTTTCTAGGTATAGATATTGACTCCTTAACTAGGAATTACATAAAAGAGAAATTCCCTAGGCATTCAATTTTGGAGTACATTTTATATATTCTCTGTCATTTGAGAAAAAACAGCTTGGTTTTTTCTTTGATAAAGCAAATTTCACGTCCTTTGTGAGTTGTTAAATTCCAGCAACTTTGCAATTTTGTTTGCCTTTCTACTATCTGTATCAATATGAAATCAAAGATTTGTTTAAAGAACCCCAGATCAAGCAAGCGGATACTACTTGAGAAATTAGAATGTAGCTTGTTCAATGTACTGGTTTAGCTCCAGGATTTATGTTCTCATCCCAAAATTATCCCTCTGACCATAGATCCCTCGACCTTTTGTGACCAGCTGCAGGGCAGGAATAAAAGGCATTTACCAGTAAGATCTGGTAAGTTTGCCAGGAACTGACAGCTTGTTTCCAGAAACTCACTGAGCCCTGGTTAAAATTTCAGCATGGCTCGTAGACACTTCCCCGCAGGGCTCCTTATTCCAGAGGGCAGGCCAGAAGGACCGAGCCCCAGTGCCACCCTCTGGCTGAACACTTGTCTGCATGGAGCTCAGCATGGACAGCCGAGCCTCAAAGCCTCCCCTCTTCAACCTGCACTGAAGGACATTTCCAAATAATGCATCTCAATGGTTTGGCTTCTGTGCATTTTTCAAAATACAAACCGCAGGCTTAAATGCCAAACCATATTTAATGATGTCCCAAACAAGTCAGAAAAAGACAAACATAAGGCCATTTTACTTATAAACTACCTAATGTGGCCACACCCGATTTAATTTATGCTCTTGTTTCCCACTGCTCCGGAACATAGCCTGCTCTGGGCAGGATCCCCTCCTCCCTGCTCATAAACAGAGCATTCTCTCTCTCTGCGTGTAAGCTGTTGCCTCTGCCTTCCCAAAGTCTAGCCCCTCCACCAAGGCAAACTGGAAGCCTCATCTTCTACCCCAAACCATTCTTTTTTGGGGGGGTCCTAGTCAATTGGGATTTCATCCTGGGTACAGAAGGAGTCAGAGAGGCAGGAGGAAAAATTGAGATGATGTCCCACGAAGTTGCAAAGGAATTTACAGATGGGGCAAGTGGTCGGGGAAGATGGGAGACGGTCAGATCTGGCAGTTAACCGATTTGCTGATAAACTTCAAGAGCGTAGATAAGAGGGGGCCAGTAGGATAACTGTATCTCGGCACGGGCTCGTGCTTAACAAAGCGCGTCTCGGAGGCTGAGCCCGTGTCCCATGAGCGGATGCCTAGCTGGGTCCGGGCTCCCATCTGATTGCTACAGCTCTTCTGCAATGCCAAGTCATCTCCTCTCTTTCTTTTGAGCATTTAAGTGGCTTGAGGCAGGAGTTTCAGAACAATTCCCTGAAAGCTCTCTTCCTTCGCCTCCCTCTGTCAACTCTCTAAGTCAGGCCACCGTGGTAGTTGCAGTGATTTCAAGGGTTTATTGCTCAGCCATAAAAATTGTCGTGATATCGAACCCCAAAATGATTGTGGCAAATGTGTGGTAATTACATTTCATTAAAATTCCTAATATGCTTGCCACTAAGAAGATTTCAAAGCTGCTCGCTAATTACTCTATCTAATAGGGTCTACGGCTTGTTCAGAGGGTCCACGGTATAGAAAATCATTGGCATTTTTCTCGGTGGCTCTTGTTTTATTTAAGAATGTGTATAGGGGTATGTATACATGCAGAATTTGTGGGTCTCTGCGGGTGTGTACATACGTATGCATTCACGTATGTATGCATATTTAGTTTGTGAGATACATCATCAGTGCCCGGGATGGTGCCAGATCTCAGATTTGGTTTAATTCATCTCTTCAGGAAAGAACACCACTTCCCTTCATCTCTGCCCCATAGGACATTAGTGAGGAATTTGGCTAATGGGAAAATGCAGGTTGGATTCCAGATAGACCAAATCACTAAAAATTCTGCCTACACTTTCTGTTCTAGAGGAATCTACCTGTCCCCTCAGGTCTTCCAGGCAAAAAAAAAAAAAAAAAGTAGAGTTGTTTTTTTTTTTTTAATGCATCGTGCTTATAAAACCAAGAAAGGTTTTCACTGTAGTTATGTGTTTTAAAAATTAATGTTTGTACTAAAATTGAAATAAATTCGAGCCACAAAAGACAGAAGGCTATTATTTTTCAAGAATAAAGTTAACCATATTTTTCTGTCTTATAGAAAACAGGGCACTTCTTAAGCTGCTACTAGGCTGTGAACTGTGGGTCCACTGGCCATTTCTTTTGCTACCATAGGCATTAAGTAGTGAACTCTTAGTTTTTGAACGCAGGAGTGAGAGATTACCTAGATAGATGGACAAGTCTTAAAGCATCTGGATGTAGCCAAATTCAAATCTGGAATGACACTCAAGCACCACGGATTCCCAAACTTTTCAGAGCTATAAAAGCTTATGAATTATTTTGCTGACACTTCTTGTCAGCAGAAATTCCGTAGGGCATATAGTTATTCCCCAATGGAGTTGTAGATCAGTTTCTGAGAACTGTTTTTGAGAATCTCATGGCACCTCCTTGAACTAAGGGGACGTGTCTGGAAGTGCTACAAACCCAGGCTTGAAAACCACTGTCTCCACACTGAATGGCAGAACCATGGAGCAAGCCACACACGGCTTTCTGCTCAACCTTTACAAAGACGAAGTTCTCTCACTCATCAGCTAACTGTGGGGAGAAAGGAAGGAAAACTGGTTACTCTTACAGAAAACACATAGTCCTGCCTGTAGAGACAAGCTGGTAGTGTTCCTCTGTTCAGCTGGAGTCATCTTCTGACCTGATTACATCAGTACATTTCTAGACACAGCATCCTTTGCATACCCACGCCCCAACATCATACATCCCTCTCAAAGATTCATGCACCTGAGCTACTTAGACCTAAATATATCTCTTTTGCCCCTGCCATGGGTTCCAGCTGCAAAAAGGTCCAGTAACCAGTTGCAAACTGAAAGCAATTGTTCTTAACCCCAACTGCACATTAAAATCACCAGGAGAGCTTTTGAAACTCCCAGTGCTCAGCCATGTGTGAGAACCACTGAGCTCCCATAACTCCCCAGTGCCTAATCAAGTTGACTTTACCTTTTTTTTTTTAGTTCAATCATCTCTAACTTAGTGAGTCTTCGACTGTTCTTGTCTGTGTTGCTTTTTCATGGCTTTGCAAATAGAATTAGTTGCCTTGTCACTTGAGCCTGCTTGGAATGGAAATGATGGACATTCAAGATATGCTGGTCAAGTCAAAAAAGAAGATCGTAACCTGACATGGCTCGAAATAACCAAATGCAATAGCACCAAGAGTGTGTGGGGGCTAAAGCAAGATCAAAGCACAAGTGCTATAAACCAGGGATTCGGGAACTCTACGATAGAGGTGCCAGGCAGCTCTGATAATTCAACATTTACTGAGGGCATGTGGCTCCAGTCAAGAGAAAGTAAGCCAAGACTCTGCACCTCGGTCCACTGTGAATAGTCGCACCCCATTCTGTACACGAGGGTCATTTGTCTGCTGACCAACATATCTGGGATCCCTGACTAAACTTTACCTTGCATTAGGTGACTTTGCGATGAAAATATAGGGGGGGGGGTGTTGAGATCATTTGTGTGGTGCAGGGAAAACCATCTTTTATTCGATAATTTTTTATTTATTGAAAATATGTAACTGGCACAACAAATACATAATTTTATAGGTACTCTTGCTTTGGCCACTGTTCAGAAATGTGTCCATTTAAAGAAAAGTATCAGTAATTGTATACAGGTGATAGTCACATATGGAACGAAAACCAGAGACAAAAGTTTGCTAACACTACACGGTAGCATGTTGTAACAACCGTGGTCAACTTCAAATTGAGGTCAGTGTTCTTCCCAAACTACCATTTGAGGGGGTGAGCAAGGGGAAGAGAAAAAGGAAGAGGAAGGTTATTAGGTCTTTAAGTAAGACATGGAGGATCCCATGAAATGCCCCCAAATTCGTGAAGGGCTCTTATTTCAGCCAGATTGATACTCAAGAAGCATGGGCAGGGGGTGGGGGGGACACTGAAGCCGATGCTGGGTCCTACTGATCTAGAATTGAGCCCGCAGTGTCTGCAGTGGGCTTGGTAGAAGGCTCAAAGGAGTAAACCCAGGGCCAGCTCCCCCCATGCTTGGTCTCTTGGGGAGGTGAACGATGTCTCCTCCCGAGCAGCTCGCTCTGCTGGGCGTGCAGGGTCTGTAGAAGGCTGAGAAGAGGCACAGAGAAAACCTGACGAGTTGGCTAACGCCTGGGGCGTGTGAAGGCAGGCCCGCTCCGTGGCAGACTCGGATTAAACTCATCTCTGTCTTCATGTGCCACTCTTCCCCGGTTCGAGGCCAGAGCTCGGGGGCCGAGACCAAAGCAGCCGAGTGTGTTTTTCCAGAGAGAGAGGGATCTGGCAAAAACAGCCCCGACAGCTGTGCTCTGTGGCTTGGCTTTTAACCTGTTTCGTTCAAGACTCTGTTTAGTCTGGATACTGGGGATTTATATATCAATTTTGGGCTCTAGTGTCATGGAGGTGGTTCTGATTTCCAGTGATTTCGTTGTCATCTGCAGTTGCCTACAATGAAAGAAGGAGCTAAGGGAACCGGGGGGCGACTTATGGCAAGCTCAGTTAAAAGCCTGCCTTTCTTCCTCGGCTCTCCTTAAGGGGTTCCCCGTGCTTCCAAAACCTAAGACAGCAGTCCTTAATAAAAAACACCTGGAGCGGGATGGGTAACCGGCTCTCTCGTTGGCTTTCGCAGAAGTGGCGGTGCATCGAGGACACCTCCGGCAAGCTTCGAATTCACAAGTGTAAAGGATCCGGGGACCTGCTCACGGTCCGGCAGAGCACGCGGAACCTCTACTCTCGAGGCTTCCCCGACAAGCACAAAGAATGCAGTTGCGGAGAGTCCGGTTATCGTGCGGGCAGAAGCCAGAGGAAGAGTCAAAGGCAGTTCCTGAGAAACCAGGGGACCCCGAGTAAGCTGCAAGCAGGGACCCTCGCAGTGGAAGGCAGAGTGCTTTGCGAATGGACAGCAGGGAGACAAAAGGCTTGCTCCTTATACATTTGAGGTCTTATCGATGCATAGTTTTAGCACAAAAAGCAAAGAATTGTTCTGTTTAAAAGAGCAAAGCTAAGTTGAAATTTGGGGTTTGTGGACATTTTTAACCTAAACATAGAATGAAAATATATTCAGTAAAAGCACCAGGCACAAACTATACACACACACACACACACGAAAGAACTATAAAGGGGTAACAGGTGTGGTTAGGGGCAGAGGGTATAGTTTATGTCAGTTTTATTTTACATGAATGCTAATGTCCTGATTTGTCTGCCTTGAGCTGCTTTAAAAAAAAAGGGAGGAAAATAAAAATTCAAGGTTTCATTGCTTATGCATTTAATAAGAAAAGCATAAACACTTTTTTTAAAGGTACATCTGTTGTAAGACGGTATTTTTTTTTTTTAGTTATGGTTGACTGGCAAGGTCAAACTAGTCAAATTCAATATGAAAAGCACTGCCTAGCATTTTCTTTATAAGAATTCTATCAGGCAACTATGAAATTCCTAGGATTATACAGATGGGAAAACCCGGTCTGGCACCTTCCATAAAAGAATGAGAGTCTAGTGCCATCTAGTGGCAGAATAGGAAAAGTGACTCATTTCTGTGGCAATTCTTTTCTACACTGGTTTGGAAATGAGTAAGATACATTTTCTGTATCACTTTTTTTTTTTAAGTAGGCTGTACACACAACGTGGGGTTTGAACTCACGACCCCAAGATCAAGAGTCACATGCTCTACCGACTGAACCAGCCAGGTGCCCCCCACGTTGTAAATTAGGAAATCAAATCAATCACCAGAAGAATAGAAGCTCTCAGCACTGGCTTTTTTATCCTGGACTCTGCAGATGGATTTTAGGGGATGGTGAGCCTTCTAACATTTTATCCAAAATGATAAGTCTATTCTGTGTGCATGTGCACATTTTTCTGGATGTCCCTAACTTTCAACACACTCTTAAGGGAATCCATAACCCAAAAGCTGAGAATGATTGATTTGGGAGATTTTTTTTTTCCTCCCAGAGAGAAAATGCCAGGTTTAATAATTCACACAAAGATATCAAATGGAAAGCCAAAAAGGGACAAAGATTCCTGACGCTCTCCCTTAACGGAAGCTGATTACCAGTGTTGGGCTTGGAGGAAGGGGCAGCCTCTTCTCTCCCCAGAGGTTAGGTGTCACTTCACAGCAGTGACCAGAAACACTGATTTTGTTCGACATTGAGCACAACCTGGAGATGTCTGGGGCCGCTTTTTCAAACCACGTGGAACCTCGCGTATTTGAGGGCAGAAGTTGCTCGTGAGCACACTCAGGGGCCTGCTGACTGTTACAGAGGCGTTTCCTCTTCTGGAAACTGCTATCAGAGCGGGATCCCGTGGCGAGCGCGATTCTGATTCCATGGCCTGGGTGCTCCCCTTCTTCCTATTTTAGCAGCAGGCTGGAGAAAAAAGGCCCTGGGAGTATGCCCCGTCGGAGCCAAAATGCTTCTGATAAGGAGGGGCCAAGGTTGGCACATTAAAGCTCTTGTCTAACACACTATGAGCCTTGAGCACGGTCTACGGTGACCAGAAAACATGCTGGCCTCCCCCTGGCATTGCCCTCCATCTGCCAGATATTAAAAGTCAGCTGGCTGATAAAAAGCATTTGCAAAATTTAATTTTTCTCTATTCTTTGTACAAATAGAAGGTATCGAGAGCATTTACCCTTTTAAAAAAGCAGCCCAGTGTTGTGGAAAGACAGCAGCCTTTAGAATCTGGTAGATTAGAGTCCTAGTTCCCACGGCTGTTGGCTCCATTACCTTGCAAAATGTTGGTAGCATTCAGAGCTTCAGTTTTCCCATCCTTAAGAATCATCACACCAAATTTATGAGCCTGTTCGGACCATCTAATCAGTTTTTTTAATGTAAGGATTTATTATAATAATACAGGTCTTCCAAGATTGTGGATTAGAGATAAGTATGAGGTGAATAATACACAGCAGAAGCCCTATCAGTGATAGTCACTATTATGATTAATACCATACCTGGGAATATAGTTTTATCCAAACAAACTGCCTTAGCAGTTCATGTTGAAAATGCAGTTCACAGCCTGCTGTGAGTGGAAAGGAACTTAGACGTCCCCCAGACGTACCCCCCACTGGAGGGACAAAGGGCTGAGGCCCAGGGGAGCATGCCATCCACCACGCTGCTATGCAGCACCCAAGCTCAAAGAGGAGCCCAGCCCTCCCAACGTGAATCCCAGTGGGCTGCCCGCCGCTCCCCGATGCCCCTCCACAATGCAGTTTAAACTGCTTGCCCTTCCCAGAATGCTCACTGAGCCAGGTGGTGCCTTTCCTCCCTCCTAAACGACACCTGGACGTCCATGTTAATGTGTCTTCCCTTGTTTCCAGAGTACAAGCCCAGATTTGTCCATACCCGGCAAACACGTTCCTTGTCAGTCGAATTTGAAGGCCAAATATATGACATAAACCTGGAAGACGAGGAATTGCAAGTGTTGCGACCGAGAAACATTGCCAAGCGCCATGATGAGGGCCACAGGAGGCCCGGAGGTGCCCAGGCTGCCGGCGACGGGGACGTGATGCGGGCAGACAGAGACAATGCCCTGGGCCTGCCCACCTCCGTCCGAGTGACTCACAAGTAGGAAGGCTTTAGGTGTTCACGGGGGCTGAATTCCCAGTCATGTCCCCTTCCCCATTATCCCTGTTTTGCTTCTTTATCAAAAGTGATATCGCTCGGCCGTACAGGGTCCGGAGGGCTGGCCTACAGAACAACTGGGATTTAAAGAAGCTAGGGGGAGTCCAAACAGCCGTACATTTGGACACATGCTTTGGGTTGAGTTTCACATGAAGGCTGATCAGCTGGGAATTTAGCTAGAGTGGTTCTGTCACATGTTTGTGTTTTCTTTTAAAGATTTTATTTATTTATTTGACAGAGAGAGACACAGCGGGAGAGGGAACACAAGCAGAGGGAGGGTCAGAGGGAGAGGCAGGCCTCCCGCGGAGCAGGGAGCCCGATGCAGCCTCGATCCCAGGACCCCGGGATCATGACCTGAGCCGAAGGCAGACGCTTAATGGCTGAGCCACCCAGGGGCCCCGGTTCTGTCACATCTTAACTCAGCAGGCATGGAGGTCCACCCTTGAACAGTTACTTTTTTGGGAGCCTAGGGAACACACTCGTAGCCCAAGGAAAGACTGCAGGTCCTGGAGAAGCTTCCAGAGAGGTGGGATGTGTTGGAAATGGACATAAGGTGCAGAAACACCTAAGTAACCTGGGCAGATCCCAGAGAGCACGGAGGGCCTCCGGAGTCACGGAGACAGGGAAGGAGGCGATTATCCCACAGCTGTAATGAACCACCTTGGTTCTCCATTTCCTTCCAAAATCCAGTTACTCTCTTGATAGAGAAAAATTTTCTTTCTGAATTTATTAGCAAGGTTTTTTCCTCTCTCTCATTCGATCACTTTGGGGAGGCCTGGTATCATGACCTCTGGCAGGATTTTTATCTTTGGGACTGGTCTTTCCGTGCCTGTACAGTTGATCTTGAACAAGGCAGGGGTTGGGGACACAGACCCTCCCCCCACCCCCACAGTTGAAAATCCACGTATAATGTTGGACTCCCCAGAAACTTAACTACTAGCGGCCTACAGCTGACCAGAAGCCTTAGCGATAACATAAACCGTCAATTAACACATATTTTATATACATATCATATACTTATTCTTACAATAAAGTAAGTTAGAGAAACAGTGTTATTAAGAAAACCATAAGAGAAGAGAAAACGTGTATACAGTACTGGACTGTGTTTATCCAAAAAAAAAAATCTGCCTATATGTGACCCCGTGCGGTTCCAAGGTCAACTATAGTTGTTAGAGTTACACACTAGGAGACTTAGATCAGGATTTGTGTCTCTTTCAGTATCGATCGACCCTTTATCCCAACTCTTCTCTATGCCTAGGGCTGTTTCTTTGCTTCAAACTGAATGGGGTACTTGAGGCAGGCTCTTTGTAACAAAACAAATGGGATAAATAACCCCCTTCTAACTGCATTGCTCTTATCAGACAACTTACTTCCATTATAACTGTGGAAACTTCCATTTCCCCTACAGTAGTTGATGAGACTCTCAACGCTAGAGTTTTCTGGTGGTAGCTGTTCCTGGGGACGTGAATATTAAATGTTGCTATGAAATGGAATCTTAGTAAGGGTCTCTCTCTGACACCATCCTTACCCCAGCTGGGTGGCCAAGAGACATTCCCACGTATCCTTCCTTGTCTATGGCTCAGCTTCAAACTACTGCTTGCCTCCAAATTAAGAGTTTAGAAGGCAATTATGTTCCCTTTGCTATTTCTAATGGGTTTAAACAAATATTAGCATATAAACCTATTTCTAACGTTTTTGGTTTGTTTGTTTTTGCAGGTGCTTTATTCTTCCGAATGATACAATCCACTGTGAGAGAGAACTGTATCAATCGGCCAGAGCCTGGAAGGACCACAAGGCATACATCGATAAAGAGGTTAGCAACGGCTGTGTGACTGGAAGGTGTATTCCAAATGCAAGCTCGGCTCACCAGCCCCCTGGTGACTGGTGGGGCTCGCTGTGTGTCCACTTCATTTTTTTTTACAATGACAATTACATGAAAAATAGCGTAGCAAGATATTTATCTTTCCCTGGGGATGTCGTGATCGACCTGCCTGAAAACAAAATAGGGTGTGAAAAAAGAGCGGGGATTGGCTCGATGACCTGTTGAAATCTCCCTGAGGAAATGATCCAGTTGTAAGTGAGGCATCTGTTAATGTTTATGTGTAGCACATCAGCAGGAGCATCGTGGTAGACATACTCTGTGCCCAGTTTGTTTCCAAGTTAATTACCTTCTCAGCAGAATAGCTGGAATTACGGAAGACAGAAAACAAGGTGAAAAGAGGGGCACCCGGCGTAGGAAATCCTGATCTGCAAATGTCTTTGTTCAAATACTTGTCTTCCAGATTGAAGCCTTGCAAGACAAAATTAAGAATTTAAGAGAAGTGAGAGGACACCTAAAAAGGAGAAAGCCGGAGGAATGTGCCTGTAGCAAACAGAGGTGAGTGGGCGGCCACCTCGCGGTCTTACTTCCAAACTCGTGTTTCCACAAGCTCCGGGAATAAGCACTGGGCTTGTTTCTCTCTTATACCAACAGAAAGCTTAGTAAACTGAATTTGTTATCATATACTGTAATGATCTAAACTCTTGGTCAAATGAAATATGTCCTAAACCTAAGGTGAAGGTTAAAAATCCCCATTAAGCTAAGATAGTTAAAGTAATCACTTGCCTTCTATTCTTCTTTCTGTTTATAAAGTGAATTGTCAGGGCGCCTGGGTGGCTCAGTTAGTTAAGCATCTGCCTTCAGCTCAGGTCATGATCCCAGGGTCCTGGAATCAGGCTCGGCATCGGGCTCGCTGATCAGCAGGGAGCCTGCCTCTCCCTCTGCCCCTCTCTCCATTTTGCTCTCTCTCTCACTCTCTCTTAAATAAATAAATAAAATCTTTAAAAGTAAAATAAAATGAACTGTCTGATCGAACGTGAGACTACGAAGACTCACTTTTCAATCTTCTTGCCCGTAGCTATTATAATAAAGAAAAAGGTGTAAAAAAGCAAGAGAAGGTGAAGAGTCATCTCCACCCATTCAAGTAAGTGAGTCTCTGTTTTCCACATTTGCTGGGAGTGGAGGACTGTCCACTGGGCACTTCTGAAACATAGTAGGGACCCCTGTCTTCCAAGTGGTGCTGCTTCCAAGCAAGCAGATTTAGCCAGGAGGGCACAGAGCTCAAGAAGTTGATAACAAAGCCCACACCTTGCCAAGAGACTATGGGGATGCTTTTGGAATCCTTTGAAGGGGAGCCACGAGGAGTTCTGCTCTAATTCTACATGTGTTTTCTGTCGATGTATGGGATGGTAACTGGATTTTATTCTATGCACTGCTTTTTGTGAACAGTGATTGGGAAATGGGACCGTCTTGATTAGGTTGGTGTGTTCCATAGAGTAGTCTGCAATCGTGCTGAATACTGAACGTTGGGAGAAATACACATATTTTTAAAATAACAGTAAAATTGGCATGTGAAAGGGATTTAGTATTAAGCCTTGACAAAAGTTGAGCCCTTTATGGAAAAAACAAAATAATAACAAAAGGAAATTCTTTCCAAATCATCTAATCCTGCTAACCATTGACTTCATGGCTGATGAGTACCGAGTCCCCTGGGAGTTAAGCCATTTGTCCAAATGCTGTGGCTAGTGGGATCCATGGATTCATGTTGACATTTATTTCCACCAGTGTTTCCATGTAAATAAGGAAGAAAATGTTGATCTTTCCAGGCTCAGTAAAATTCTAAGAAAGTTTTGTCACTTCATGAGTTTGTCTTCACTCTTGCCAATTATAGTTCAAGGCCCTCTGTGAAAAATAAGTCATCTATTATTGTGTGTCTGCCTATTTGTGTGAGATTTGTAACAACGATAATATTTTTCATTGGGAAAGTGCTTTCTGACCATGAACACATCCCTTCTGTTGGAACAGGGAAGCTGCTCAAGAAGTAGACAGCAAGCTGCAGCTTTTCAAGGAGAACCGTAGGAGGAAGAAAGAGAGGAAGGAGAAGAAACGCCAGAGGAAGGGGGAGGAATGCAGCCTCCCTGGCCTCACCTGCTTCACCCACGACAACAACCACTGGCAGACGGCCCCGTTCTGGAACTGTAAGTATTGTGTGGTTTTGGTTTGCAGGGTGTTTTGTTTTAGAAATATTTTTCCCAGTTTTGGGGTGCCTGGGTGGCTTAGTGGGTTAAGCGTTGACTCTTGGTTTTGGCTCAGGTCACGATCTCAGGGTTGTGAGATCGAGCCCCACATGGAGCTCCTCACTCAGCGCAGAGACTCTCCCTCTGCCGCTGCCCCTCCCCCCACTCGTGCTCTCTAAATAAATACATAAATAAATAAAATCTTTAAAAAAATATATTTTTCCCAGTTTTACTGAGATATAGTGGACAAACAGCACTGTATAAGTTCAAGGTGTACCGCATAATGACCTGACTTCTGTGTATTGCAACGTGATGACCACAATAAGTTCAGTTAACATCTGCCACCTCATCTGAGTTGCCAGTAACTGCCGCCATGTGGAGAGACAGCAACTCACACTACAGTTACTAAAACTAGGGCTTCAGCAGCGTGAAACCAGGGATCTAGAATGATTCAAGAGGAGAGCATCATACTATTTTCTGTACTGGCAACTAGAATGATCTTGTCAAAAATTACGGTTTTCTTTGGAAATTTGTTTTCATATTTTATTTGAAAATGCCAAGCTCGCCCTGGGTGTTTCTCCTGATGGTGTTATTTCTCATACTGCCCAGCTCCTGGCAAAGTTCCTACCCAATAAGACGGGGTTTAGTTATATCTATTACTAAATAACTAAATAAATGGACGAACAATCTTGCCTCGAATAGATTTTGTTTCTGCTTTATTTCATGTCATGCTCTAAGTGTAATAAAGGGAAGCGAAAACCCCTTCGATGCGGGGGCTGTATTCTAATTCTCAGTCCCCTTTAGTACCTAGCACCGTGCTCACAAAAGAATAGGGACTCGGGCGCCTGGATGGCTCAGTTGGTTAAGCGACTGCCTTCGGCTCAGGTCAGGATCCCAGGGTCCTGGGATCGAGTCCCACATCGGGCTCCCGGCTCAGCGGGGAACCTGCTTCTCCCTCTCCCTCTGCCTCTCTCCCTCCTCATGCTCTCTCTCTCTCTGTATTTCTGTGTCTCAAATGAATAAATAAAATCTTTAAAAAAAAAAACAAAAAACTCCCAGCTGAATGGTATCCTTTTCCTAATAAGGAAATATAGATCCAGAAAACTTAAGCTA